CTAAAATATTCCTATAATATTCTCTCTAAACCCCATTTGAAACCTTATTTCCATGCCTGCTGATGATGCCAGTCCGCATGTTTCGAAATCCATACTCATGACATTTGTTTATTCAAATCACTCCACGCCAAAGCGATACGTTTGGTTCTTGCTATCTTTTGCTTGACTGCGGAATGAATCAAGCACCATCCTTGATGGATATCCGTGCGGATTGGGATGTGTGGGTGGGGGCATCGATTGTACGGCGGCCCCCGACTGCAATCATTTTCTTAAGATGCATGCCGCCCTCCCTCTCCTCTCATATCTAAAGCTATTCCTGAACAGTGATTTAGGAGATAAATACAACCTAAGAGTTGTCATGGTGATTTAGACTCGGATAAGACGGTGCTTTCCTGAGGCAGAGGAGGGTGAGACAAAGACAAAGAGGAGGATGAGAGACGCCGAGCGCGAGAAAGAGAGAAAGAGAACACGGAATACCTCTGCCGGAGGGCATGATAATGTGTAGAAACCCACTTGATTAGTTTGTGCTTCCCTCTAAAACGAAACCGCAAGACAAATAGTGATAGCACATTAGGGCTGTGGACCATGGAGTGAGAATGGGTTTGTGTGTGCGACTTGATAGGTAGGGAAAAGGACAGCAGGAACGACTTGACAGGAAGACAAGAGAGCCTTTGGCTTGGATAAATAGATGCTGTCTAATAAAGCGCTTTCGAATAAGTCCCGTCACCTTTAGTGTCACGTTTGTTAGAAAGACGCTTCAAGTGGCTTGATCTGAATGCGTATGGAGTGAACCGTTCAACTATAACAAATACATACAGTATGTGAGTCTCTGATAATGGGACAATTTGACCCCGTCAAACATCAAACTGGCACCTGAGATCCAGAGAGTTTGGGCTTGCGACCTCTTCTGCTTTTTTGATTTATACGTAAACAAACATCTTCAAAGATTCACTATCATCTAATGTAAATCATCTCAAGGGCAGTCGATAAATAACAAGGAGAAAGACGGACAAATATAGCCCTGAACCAAACCCTGCAAAAGACAAACCCAGTAGAGCCTGTCAATCCAATCACAGCCAGACCTGAGCTCTAGGAAGACTGACTCAGCTCTCCTGGGATTGACTGTGATAAAGGAGGAAGGTGAAATGATATGAAGGAAAAGAAAACACATAGAAGGTCTGTTCCAAAACCTACCGAGCTGCCCTGAAGTCAAAGGGAATGTTACTTATTGCTTTATATTACAAAAAATCTATTCATTATGCAGACTTTATGGAGCATGCTAAGTTAACTTTGCATTACTTTTTCTTACCATGTTCTCTCTCTCTCTCTCTTTTTAAACATTGTACATGCATTTTTCCCCAATTATATGTCATTGCATCCAAAAAAAAAAAAAACTAATTAAAATGACAAAAACATGCAACAACACGAACAACACTTTTACTAAAATTAAAATGAAAACAGATGTCTAAAACTAAAGCCTAATTCAAAATATTAACAAAAACTATAATTATGTCATGACAACTCTCAGAGGGATTGGCGTGGTAATGTACATGACAATGTTAAAGCGGTGGTTCACTGGGTTTTTTCTAGGCCTGATTGTGTTTATTTGGTGCAGTCTAACATGTGTTAATGCTTAGCTTTTTAAAAAACGCATTATTTTTCACATAATTTACCTTTATTCCACACCGCTCTGTCCCTTCTCTGAGAAACAATCTGATCATTTCCTTCTTTTATGAAGCCCCTCCCTCAGAAATAGGCGATGGGCTCTGATTGGTTAGCTAGCCCAGTGTGTTGTGATTGACTAAATCGCCTCTATTGTGCATCTAATCGTCCCGCCCCTCACCTCCACGGCATGTGCTCCGGTTGTATTGTAAACAAAGGCATCGTTAATATCGCTTATCAGTTTGAGCCCGATTGAGAAGCAGAGGATATTATTGAAGAGGATCGTGCAGAACCTGTGCAAGCACGGCTTTTAATGGTAGGCTTATGTTTTTTGTTTGTTGTTATCTCATACTTTTAGATACGCTGTTATTTGTAAATGCTACTGCTTATGTTTGCTTTTAATATACCGTTTTATCCTGATTAAAGCTTTTATACAGTACGGCAACTGCACGCACGTCCATATTTAATGCTTCTCATAGCTATGTGAAAATAAGTGTATAATTGGAACAGTTCATTTGGAATAGATCAGCTACGTTGCTGCTGCGGTAGAGCAAGTACCGAGACTTTCTACTGCAAATACATCCACAACATGCTGCTGTGAGCATGTAAGAAATATTGCTGCTGCAAATATAACATACATGAAATAACCCCCATATAGCGTACATGAATCACCTCGTAGCAGATCTATACAGGTGGAGCTGGGGAAGGTGGAGGGTTTCTGAAGCAAGCTGCACTGCTACTGCAAGCACTAATCATATATTTGAATGTTGAGCAGCGAACTCATTGGCTAACGATACAGGAGAGAACCAATCAGCTGTGCCATGTGATAATGATGTCATTAGGTCAGATTGAGTTAGACCTATCGGACTGCGCCATCTAGAGTTTCATGCCAGAACTCTGTATTAGTGTTCCTAAAATAACACTGATGCATGCAAACAAAGTTTGCATACATTGACTTGGCATGCTGCTGGACTAAATGTACTAAATGGACTAACTATTTTATCATGAACCACATTTTATTTTATTTTTTTTACAAAAAGTGCCTTAATATTTTTTGGAATACTCATGCAGCCAGTAAAAAAAAGATGCACCATTTGTTATGGCAATCTAATCACAAATGACTGCAACACCAGCTGCTTTGAACTAACACAAGTTCTGGCAAATACAGTACATATCAATGATTTTTCAGTATTCAATGAAGGGTTCTCTTGATTTCTTATGCATTGTGGATTGTTATTTATTATTTCATTTTTTACATTGTAAGTGTTGCATTTTGCCTGTTTATCCGCTTATATGTCATTGCATGCAAACTAAAACAGTTTGCATGCAATGACTTACAAGCTCCTGGACTTTATGCAGCAGAAAGGTATTTACACAAGAATCACAATTGTGGGAAATATTGTCTCATGTATTCAAACATTCCATTTTTTCGAAAGTGACAATATTTCTTTGGAACTCTCATGTAGCCAGTAGAAAACAAGATGCAGTGTTTGTCATGGCAATGGCAACACCTGCTGCTCTGTGGTAAGACAAGTTTCATCATTTTGTAAAAATGCTTAATACATATATATCAGTCATTTTCAGATGGATTGAATTCGTCACAATGCATTGGGATTCGATTTTCTGTGAACGATATATGCATTGTTTTCTTAGAGTATGTCCAAAATGAGACAGTGGGAACCTTCTTCGTGTCAAGAGCGCACCTGTGATGTCTAGATTGACAGCTCACTTGTTTTTGGAACAGAGCTTTAGTGACTGATGGAGTGGGTGGACAGCTAATCACTGACGCTATCAGCATCTGTGTGGCTCAGGTACACAACCGCCGCTTCTCTCGACAGCGATGAGACATTTCAGAATGACTGCCTGGTCACGCGTAGACTGATTCTTATACCTGTACTTGGATAGGTCTGGTGACACCCGCTATTACTAGGGGTGTTTACTAAGGAAAGCATCACTGACTATTACTACAGTGTACTTACAGACATTAAATAGGCACAAAAAATCCCATACACCAGGGTTGACTAAACTGAAAACCACAAATAATAAATGAAATAAAAAAAAACAAACATTTTCATTAATTATTTCATATAAGTATTTTATTTCAACTAGTTCAACATTTCTCATTTTCATTAAGTTTAATCATTTTTCAGTATTCAATGAAGGGTTCTCTTGATTTCTTATGCTTCCAGCTTCCATCTTAATCAGTGTTATGGATTGTTAATAATTATTATTATTTATTTTTTTTACACCTGTTTATCCACTTATATATCATTGCATGCAAACTAAAACAGTTTGTATGCAATGACTTACAAGCTCCTGGACTTTTTGCAGCTGAAATGTATTTACACAAGAATCACAACTGTGGGAAACTTTGTATCATCATTTATTCAAACATTCAATTTTTTCAACATTTCTCATTTCTATTAGGTTTAAGTATTAAAGTAAATAAAAGTAAATAAGCTAAAACTAATACCTAAACAATAATTCATATTATATAGACCTATTTAGAAAATCTAATATGACAAAAACACAATAAAATGAGTAAAACTGTAACTAAAATTAAAGTGAAAACAAAAAATATATAAATATCCCACCATAACCGCAAGCTTTGTGCCAGGAGTTAAATGTTTACTTAGATGACATGTAAATTATTTAACAGACATAAATTTGTAGACATCAATTATTTATGATTTTAGAATGCCTTCCTTGAAATATTGATCCAAAAGGTGACATTCAATACAATAAAACTTTGTAAGCAGATTCAGAAATGGTTATGTTAAATACAAGGTGACACCTCACAGCTGCTAGTGAGAGAACAGTACACATACATCAGAAGATTGATATTTAAATGTTTGTCTCTGTGTTTGTTTGAATTAGTGTAACTATGCCAGTCACGCAGGCACTTTGTGCTGGTTTCTTTCAAATCTTCTGCATTCCTAAACATCTGCACATAAAAGCCTTTGGTTATCTCGCTGGGCTTTTGTAAGGCACTAGTCTTTGTCAAGCTGATGTGGAGCAATTTGTGCTATGAAAAGCTCTACATAACTGTGAATTGAACACTCTCACAGGTGAGTTTTGTTGGACGTTTGTAGGTTTCTTGCACCCTAATTAGTCACTTAATTGCATTTCACGATTGCATCACCTACAAAACAGATGGCTTAAGATACAGAATTCTTATAGCAAGCATCAGACTCTTAAGAATAAACTGAACTGAACAAAATGCTACTTTGTATGTTTTCTCCTGGTCTTATTATCTGTTTTTATGTTTTCTTGATAGATTTTTCAAGCTTTTAATGTATTGTCTTTTGTTTAAAATCAGTTCCTGTATGACCAGATGTTACGGTGCAATAACAGCTTTGAAGGTATGTTTTCACCTCACATTCTCATACTGTATATATATATATATATATATATATATATATATATATATGCTGATGTATATGATGCCAAACATGTCTCAAATGATCATCAAGATGTCCAACACATTTGCATGTTTTGAACAGGTGCCAATCAGATTTGAGTTTGAGTTACTGCAGAGGGAAATCTATTTTTCAGTCATGTAGACCAATTTTGAAATTTGTACGGTATTTTTTTGAGTTTGGCAGCATGAATCAGCATTTGTTTGATTTGAGAAACAAACTCATCTACATCTTGCATGGCCTGGGGATGATTACGTTTTCATTTTTGTGTGAACTAAGCACACCTCCAAATAATGTCTTCATTAACTGTAATGAAGTATAATTTCTTTTTGATTTTGGGGTTAAATATGACTCGTGCATTAGCAAGTTTCTCGCTTAGGATCACAGTTCAGTTCACCTCGAGGAGTTTGGGTAACCACCCTTCTCATGTCTATTTTCACCAGACGTTGGAGGCTATTTTAACCAGAAATCGCGTCAGCAGCTGATTCACTCTTCTTTGAGGTGATGTACCATCGCTGGCCAATGGCCACGTCCACATCTGCGAGCCCAGAGCGCAGCGGCACCAAAGTTTGTGCGTAAAGGAGGCGGCGCGGCGCGGGGCGCCATGACTCACACTCACGGTCACCTCCTCTGAGAAATACTGATGTCCCGAGGACCCTTCCGCTCAAATGTGCGTGTGGAAACACAGAACTGCACTTGACTCGCTGAACTAGAGCTCTGCCGTTTCCACAGCGATGACAGGAGAGATTGAAGCGATGAACCGCAGACGCGCCGCGCGTCCATCTACCCAAACACCTCCGGATCGAGCTCTCGCGTTCACTGACACGCTGCTGAGGTGAGTGTTCAGTCAGTCGCACAACTGCTAGACTATATTGAGCATGCAATCATTATGCATAATAGGCTACATTAGAAATAGCCTATTTTTTTCCGTTTGCAAACTTCGTGTGATGTGCGCTGGAGTGAGTCTACAGGTTGCTTCTGAAAACTTCACACATGTGCTGTTGCGTTCAGTTTACGGTCTTTACCATGAGGGATCGAGTGTGTGCGCGTGTTTAGTGGTTGTGTTGGTGCATACTGATGTAATGCATTGATTAGTTGTGTGTTCCAGAGATGTCTGCATCCTCTCCCAGCTGTCACAATGATTTATGCATGATGGGCAACAAGAAAAGGTTACTTTTGTCGTCTTGTATTGACTGGAGCAAAAATAGTTTGATTAAAATGGAGAATTTTTCTTTCGATTCTCTCTGCTCAAAAACAAACTGTTGAATCAGAAAATGGGAATATGGTGGTGTGCATATTTTGAAAAGGACATACATACATACATAGCCTATATCATAAGATATAATATATACGTATATATGTGTAATATAAGATATAACATACATACTGTATATGCATAAGAATAATGCTGACTTTATTTATGAATCTTATATTTAATAATGGGGGAAATGGTTAGGCAAATTATAATTATATTTTGTTCTAATGAGTTTCTGATTTTAGTATATCAAACAAATCTTGTTTTATTATAGGATATAATGTGCTTTTTGTAGCAGAATGAAGATTTTAGATTAAGATTTAGATGAATATTTAAGGTGCTGCTCATATTGCTGCTTTTATATCTATATATATATATCTCATTTCCCAGTATTGTAATCACCTTTTTCCCTAACTGGTTCATTTTAAATGGTCATTCGGTGTAACAATTTTTTAAAGTACAAATATTCCATGTCTCTTTATTAATATGTAAATTGTACGTTTTAAATGTATTAATGTTTAATATTAAAATGTTTAATATTTAATGTCAACTGCATACATTTAAAAATGATTTATATATATATATATATATATATATATATATTTAACATTAAGAGACATGAAATAACTGAACATTTCATAATAAGATCGATCTAATTCTTACATGTACATTTTTAATGGTTTCAGATATAGTAGCCAAATTTCCATAGACTACGACCACCTTCAAATTCAATTACTCCACTTAATTTCGCTCATGACAGAGAGGAAGGAATAATGTGAGTCTCTCAGCACTGTTTGTGCCCCTTCACCCTCTGCTGAGGTCTCACGCTTTGATGCTACATAAACAACGAGCAGCCACTGACCGAACTCATTTCTGTCTTTTTGAAGCCTGTACATTAGGAAGCTTCGACTTGAATTACCTTTCAGCGGTGAAGCCTAAATATTTACCGCTCTTTATGTAAAAGCAGGCAACCGTATCCATTAATTTCAGAGGAGGCTCTGGCGATTACAGAGAGAGCGCTGTGGCTCTGGTTATTGCGTTGCCCTGCAGGGCTGTGATAAGTACTAGGCAGAGAAGACCAATAATTGTGATTTAATCTCAGTCAGAGTGAGTGTGGCCTACAGGTTGTGGAGGGACCACCGAGCTGAAACCCAGCGGATCGACTGTTTCTGTGATGAGCGAGACTGTCGGACCGCCGCAGGCCGCCCTGATTTCTTCACAATCTGTTAATGAATAATAGAGACTCCTCTGAAGCCCTTAAGGAATTGATCAGTCTAAAAGAAATATCGACTAATCCTCATGTATAAAACCGTATGCTGCCAAACTATAGCAAAAGTAGTCTGTGCTATATTTCATATCTTTTGAATAAGTCATATGACTGCTTTGTGTGAGGAATAGCCTAAAATGTATGTCTTTTTGTCATGTGATTGGGCGAGAACTAATGAGGTTTGAGGTTTGCATTGTGATATTTGATGTACACTGAAAAAGCTGGTGTAAGATTTACTTTGAAACAGTTGTCACAAATTGTTAGTAAATTTCACAAATAATACACAGAAAGACTGAAATATTTTCTTGTAAAACATACTACATACATGGTTCCACTGTATGGACAAAAACTGCTAAAACTTTCAAAATATAATTAAAAAATTCAATAAAACAAAATAAGAATAATAAAATGATAAAATAATACATAAAATATTTTAAAAATTAATTAAAATGTTTTGTAGATAAAAAAACATTCGTACTACACTTGTTATTTTTTAAAAGGAAAACAAAAAATTATTTTGCATCAATGAATCAAACAAAATTCATTAATTTATACCAAAAAATAAATAAATAAATAAAAAATTATGGATTGAATCAGGTAAAAATAGTTGCAGGTTACCACTTTTTACAGTATAGTTTTAAATTACAATTAAAAGTAAATGACAGAGTTTTAATTTTTGGGTGCACTTTTGCTAGGCCTATGATTAATAATAATACCGCATTTTATTTGTAATGCGCTTTTCTTAAACCCAAAGCGCTACAATAAAACAGAAACACAAAAAGAATCATACAAATGACAAAAATCAAGTAAAACAAACTTAAATAAATGCATCTTAATCAGCTTTTTAAAGTGATCCAGGGTTGTTGCATTTCTGATATTAAAAGGAAGTGCATTCCATAATTTGGGGGCTTTGAATGAAAAAGCTCTTTCCCCCATGATTAAATATAAATATCTAATATTAAGTATAAGATTCTGTTCGCTGAGGTGATGAGCTGTTTTGGTGAATCGTTTCATGTGCACGGCCATATGGGTGCCAGTCTGGCAAAGCTCAAGGTCTCTTACTGATGTTAGTGAAAATCATCTGGCTGTCAGTTTAATTTACTGTTTGCTCGAGGACTAAAACAACAAATGTTTCAGTTGTGTCCCTCACCATAGGCGAGTGTTGTCAATTTGATTGAGCACTGCTCCTTAAAGGAATAGTTCACACCAAAATGAAAATATCCTGAAATTTTACTTACCCTCAGGCCATTTGAGATGTAGATGAGTTTGTTTCTTCATCAGATTTGGAGAAATGTAGCATTGCATCACTTGCTCACCAATAGATCCCCTGTAGTGAATGGGTGCCGTCAGAATGAGAGTCCAAACAGCTGATAAAAACATCAGAATAATCCACACCACTCCAGTCCATCAGTTAACATCTTGTGAAACAAAAAACTGCATGTTTGTAAGAAACAAATACGTTATTAAGGTGTTTTAATTTTAAACTGTTGCTTTTGGCGAAAATCCATAATCTATAATAACGCTTCCTCCAGTGAAAAAGTCCATCTCCTGTTGTCTCTCACATCAAAACCCACCCACATATTTCTTTAGAGCGGTTTTGGATTGTTTTCACTGTGCAGATCTGTGCAGATTTCTCTCCTGATTCAGACAAGACGACTTTTATCACTGGGGAAAACACAATATTATGGATCCATAGAAGCAGCGGTTTGAAGTTAAAAACATGGATTTGATTATTACAAACACACAGCTTTTCACTTCACCAGACGTTAAGTGATGGACTGGAGTGGTGTGGATTACTTGTGGATTATTGTGATGTTTTTATCAGCTGTTTGGACTCTCATTCTGACGGCACCCATTCACTGCAGAGGATCCATTGGTGAGCAAGTGATGTAATGCTACATTTCTCCAAATCTGATGAAGAAACAAATTCATCTACATCATGAAATGTCTGAGGGTGAGTACAATTTCAGCAAATTTTCATTTTTGGGTGAACTTGTCCTATGATATTTATAACTCAACTAAATTGAAGATGTTGAGCGTTGATAGCAGCTCAGGAGAGAGCAGCACAGGGGCGGACGGTGTAGCGCAGGCAGGAGGGCTGGTGTGCAATGCAGCATGGCAGCTCAAAGTGAGCCAGCTGAGGCTCTGAACAGCTGGCGTATCAGCATGGAGTTTCACTCGACGCGCCGGTGAGGCCCAAAGGTCAGATGCGGGTTGATGTCGTGATGGGGAGATCAGAGACAGAGAGACCGCTGAATGCACACTGAACTCCACTATCTCCGTCCTAGCACTAGTATTATCATGCTGAGCCTCACGAACCCTGGACGGGATTCAGTTTCTCTCGCCTGTGTGTATAAATACAATGGCAGTTGCGTTTAGACAGGAGACCGAAAGAAATGAATGCTGACACTCACAAAACAGCGGAAGGGAGATAATGCGACAGGGGATTTTTGATAAAAAACTATTTTTTAAAGGTAACATGAAATCAAAATTGACCAAAATTGAACATCCATGGTCGTATTATGTATGATTCATCAGTGCATATTTGTTTATATAGTCTTTCATCAAAATGCAATAACTTTCTCCGACTGTGAAAAGACTTTTGTTTCTCCAGGTGTGTGGGGAAAATAATATTAATCATAAATTTTTGAGCCTAACATCCACAGACAAGTGAAATCCAGATCTTAATGCATAGCATATGACTTTCTGAATATATAGATGTGCCAAAATGTGCAGTATGACAAATAGACCAGAAGTAATATTAACCAAGAATTTCTAACATTGCTTTCTTGACTGATAAGATTCAAGACATTTTATACACTACCATTCAAAAGTCTCTTATGTTCACCAAGGCTGCATTTATTTGATCGAAAATATAGTGAAATATTATTACAATTTCAATTTCAATTACAAATTTTGAACACTAGAGTAAATGTAAATATAAATGGAGTTTTTTGTTGACTTTAATGTTGGTTATTTTCTAATTGATAAATTAATGTCCAATCAAGGGAATAAATTAGTTCACCAAACATTGCCTTTGTTGTGGCTAATAAATAAAAATTCCTAATCATGTTTTAAAGAAGAAAGAGAATGTTTAATAGGTTTGTTTTGAAGTGCAATACTTTGATAATTGCTAGAATACAAATACTTTGTGTTTATAAAGTCCAGTGTTGCACAAGCCAAACCCTGACCCCATGTGCATGTGCATCTTTCTTAATACAAAAATAACAGTTTTTGGTATTAATGAAGAACATTTCAGTGCACAAAAGGCTCTTTAGATAAAAAAAATGGTTCATTTTAGAACTGGTCACTGAAAGGTTCTTGAAGGAACCCAAAATGGTTCTTCTATATGGTTGGAAACCTTTATTTTTGAGAGTGTGTGTCAGCACCAGCCTAACAGCTTGTGTTTTCTAAAGCACAGTTGCCGGTTGAGTGAAGCAGGAGTAATTTTGTGTCCTCCTAACACCTCCGTAGTGTCCAGCCAGCAGCGAGAGTCACCTCTGTGCCTCATTAAGCTGGAAATCAGATCAATATTCCTACTAATGTCAGAAACGTGAGAGCGTCTGAGTAGGAGTGTTAAGCTTGCGTGCATTTCTCCTCTCAAAGTTAATTGATCGAGTCACAAACGGATGGTAGGCGATCTCATTAGAAGTAATTAGTGTCAATCTAGAAAAATCACAGAGTAATGAAAAAAGATCAGTTGAAAATGAAGCGTGTGTATGGTTTATGATCAAGTGGTTTCCTGTATGTGTGCAGACTCACTGTCACAGCCTTGCACAGTTGAATTTATTCTGTCATCATTATAAATAGAGAAGCAACAGACGGCAAAAAAGATTAATTTTCCTGTCTGTCTGATTCTGCTGATGCCGTTTGGCAGAACATTGGTTAAGGTAGAAAAATTACAGAACAGAACAGAAGATTTTAATTTCTAAAGGTCAGGAAGCCAGAAATCTCACAAAAGAAACAAACCAATACTACGTCTTTGTCGACAGGCACCGAAAAAAGGGGGATTTTGTTGTCCAGCTGAGGGATTTGCCTGAAATCATGCGATATTTGAATGTTATTAAATATGTTTTCTTAACTTACTAAGCTTTTTTCTGTGTCTTATGGCAAGCAGCAAGAATTGGCTTGATTAAAGTGGGAATTAGAGAGCATGAAAATGGCAAAAATAAAAACATTCTCTGATTTTTTTTTTTTGAGGCAGCCTTGTGTTTTTGCCCAGTGGGTGCATTTTTCACAACTGTGAAAAAAAAATCTGTTGCTGTTTCGCTTCGTTCAGAACCGGCCAGAGTCTCACAGGACACGATCTCGTTAAAACCCCTGTGAAAGGTCGTTTTCTGCATCTGTGGTTTCCTTCGCTCAGAAACAATCTGAAACTCGGGTTTTACATGTTCTGAAGAAAATAAGAGTGCTTGACAGAGCGTTACTATGCTGGATGCTGCTTTGCAGTTACTAAGGTGCTTCTGTGTGGTTACTAGGGTATTTCAAATGGTTGCTAGGCTATTTTGGGTTGTTTTACTCTCTTTTTACTCTCTCTGCTTTTTTATACCAGCAAATGAAAATAAATAATGTGCACAAACTGTTTCAAAAGTATGTGCAATAATATTTATATTATAGTTCATATACACTCTAAAAAATGCTGGGTTAAATACAACCCAGCGCTGGGTAAAATAGGGACAAACCCAGCAATTGGGCTGTTTTGACCCAGCAGTTGGGTTAAATGTTTAACCCAACCTTCTGGGTAGTAACCCAATCGCTGGGTCAAAACAACCCAATTGCTGGGGTTGTCCCTATTTTACCCAGCACTGGGTTGTATTTAACCCAGGATTTTTTAGAGTGTAGTATAATAGCACCAGTTTGCATTTTATTTTCTATTTATGCATCAGTTTGTCACGTTTTCAGAATAATCTGTGATATGGCACAGTCATCTATCAAGTTCTCAAGGTGCTGTTAATGTTTGGCTTTCAATGAAGTCAGTGTGTGTTTTTTTTTCAATGTGTTTTTGGTTAAATGCCTGAAATAAGTTTTGTGGTGAACACAAGCTCAAGATATTTTCATGGTTTATTCTACAAAATAAAATACATCAGTAATACCCCATTTGTAGTTTGCTAGGTTGGCCTACAAAAATACGTTTCTTTAATATAAGAATTTTCATGACCATTTTCCAGTTTCTCCCAGATTTAGGTTACTGTACCTTTAAGACTTCTATGTGAAAAGTACCTCTGAACAAGCTGTCTTTGCAGTTTCAATAAATAATAATAATAATAATAATACGTTTTATTTATATAGCGCCTTTTCCAGAGCTCAAGGACACTTTACAATAAACATCAGAAATGTGAGGATAACTTCAAAAAAACAATCAAACAATAATACAGAAAGTAAAGTAAAGAGAACATCAGACATCCAGAGAGTAATATATGGATAAGACAACATAAAACAGAATAAACAGAAGTCAACTTAAGAAAGGTAACATTGTGAAAACAAATGAGTTTTGAGCAGCGATTTAAATTCAGACAGGTTATTGGCAAGACAGAGCGATCTGGGAAGAGAGTTCCATAATTTAGGGGCAACAACATTAAATGATCTGTCCCCCATGGAAGAGGCGATACCGAGGGACGGCGAGAATCAGAGGACCGCAATGAACGAGGTGGAGAATAGGGAAGGAGCAGACTGTGAAGATAGTTAGGAGCCAGACCATGCAAAGCTTTAAAAGTAAGCAGGATAATTTTAAACTTAATACAATAGGCCACTGGTAGCCAATGCAGATCAGCCAGGATAGGGGTGATGTGGGCAGAATGCTTAGTACGAGTGAGAATACGAGCGGCTGAATTTTGAATATACTGTAATTTAGCAATGGAGGTAGCTGGTAAACCAATGAAAAGGGCTTTACAGTAATCGAGACGAGATGAAACAAAAGCATGGATGAGAGTTTCTGCATCGTTGGCACTAATGAAAGGATGGAGCTGGACAATCCGTCATAAATGAAAGAAAGCTGATTTAGTGAGAGAGTTAATATGAGACTGAAATGAAAGAGAGGAGTCAAACATAACACCGAGATTTCTAACGATACTAGATGGAGCAATTAGAGTGCCAGTGATATTGCAAATAAAGTCAGCGGGAACTTTGGTGGTAAGTGATGGGGTACCAATAATGATGATCTCAGTTTTATCCATATTAAGTTTCAGAAAATTAGAGTTAAGCCATGTTTTTATATCCTGCACGCAAATAGAAATTTTATCAATTTGGGTGGATAGGGATGGCCTGCATGACGTGTAAATTTGAATGTCTTCAGCATAAAAATGATAGCTAAAGCCATGATGCTGTAGTATCTGACCCAATGGTAAAATATAAATAATAAACAGCAAAGGCCCAAGAACGGAACCCTGGGGGATGCCTTGTTTCAGGGGGGCAGTAGGGGATCTAAAATCCCGAGCAGAGATGTAAAACTGGAAAGCTACAGTACTCTCCAATAATTTAGCAATAAATGGTCAATTTGAAATGGGACGATAATTGGATAAAACTTTGGGATCGAGATTGGGTTTCTTGAGAACTGGGGTGACTGCAGCAACTTTAAGTGACTGAGGAAAAGAAGCAGTGACAAGAGAAGCATTTATGAAATGAGACATAGGTGGAGAAATGACCGAATGACACAGTTTCAGGAGAGAAGTAGGAGCTGGGTCAAGTCGACAGGAAGAAGAATTTGATTTTGAAATTAGCTCAGAAACAGAAGACGGATTAGTAAGAGAAAAGCAGGACAGGGAATTACCAGAGAGATTAGGCTCAAAGCTAAAACTGATAGCGTTGTTCGAAAAGCCCCGGTGTATTAAAGCTATTAAAGTAATAAAGTTGTGCATGTTAGAGTATGGCTATATAATCACTAATTAACCGTAAAAATGTAGACTACTTTTTCAACATTATTTGTCTTAGAATAGATGGAATGTAGAATTTTAATATCTATTCTGTGGGAAAATGAGAAAATTTTAGTTGTGTGTATAAGACAGCAGCTGTTCATTTTTGTTGTCCCATTTGATTTTGTGTTTGACGTGTCGAATGAATCACTTCAGAAGAAACATATAAATAAAAGCATTTGTTTTGTTGAGGATCCCTCATGGAGAGAAATCCATTTGCGGGCCCTTTATCTGAGAAATATGAATTAATGAATCTATATATCATTATCCACTGGAACTGGCTTATAATTTTATGCCAAACGATTGCACACTTCATTATAATGCATGAGCGGTGGTTTAAAAGTTGCCTGTCTGATAAATTAATCCACTTCACTGATAAAGCTCCATTTTCTCTGTCTGTTTTCAGGGTTCATCAGTCTTCAAACCAAACCAGCATGGCTGCTTTACGACCAGATCTCTCCTGATTGAAGTCGTTCGCCTAAAAATTGCGTGACGCACTGAGAACTGCTCTTCAGCCAAAAATATCTCCTCAGCATATGCCAAAGTGCTTTTAGCTTTGTCCTTGTTATCCGCTTTGCAACCTCAGTGACATCAGCCAACGCCATGCAGACTTTCAATGCGAATCCGATTCTGGAGTGACCGTCGGCACCATGTGGACTGTTTCCAACCGCTGCAGATGCGCGCAAAAAGACGGGAAGCTCTTGTTTTACAAAGTGCACGAACACATTAACAGTGCTTTATGAATGTGCAAAGAGAGATGGAGAACGTTTTGACACCTTCGCACGTCGATGCATTGATGCATATCTAAAACGGATCGCTCATGCATCAAACCTAATGCCTGGAAACTACAGACAAACCTCTTTTGTACCTTAATAGATCACACAGATTGCAACAACGGCATGTGTGTCATTCTCATTGTTCTGTATGATGTTGCAGCTGCACATGGTTATGAACATGTCAAAACAACCCTTGAATTTATGACTTTATGACAAAAGAATCTGACGTTCTCCGCAGCATAATATGTTTAGTTCCTCTTGTTTATTCCTTCACCCACAGCTATTTTCCACGAACATACATCACTAAAAGCTCATCTAGGAGAAATGAGAAATGAGACACAACAGGTTAAATTTCATCACGTTCCCTTCATTGCAATGCTGCAAATGCCCCAATGTTCTTGTACCACGGCCAATGCAGTAGTGCCGTTTTCATTGTTTTCTTGGAGAGATTCCAATATTAATGTGCAAATCAAACTGACGCCCCAAAATCAGACCTTTATTAAATGCCTGGACATCTTGAACAGATGATTCCCCTCAAAGACAACATGACCCCGGAGTCATTCCACGAAAATTGTAGCAACTGCAGCCAGGTTCTCGTCCCGGAGCTGAACGTCATGAAGGCTGTTGTTCTGGGAATGGTGTTGGCAATCTTCATCATTTTTGGCGTTCTGGGCAACATCCTGGTCATCCTCTCAGTGGCTTGCCATCGTAATCTACGCACAGTTACGCATTACTTCATTGTGAACTTGGCGGTTGCGGACCTTTTGCTGAGCTCTACGGTTCTTCCATTTTCTACGGTCTTTGAAATGTTGGGTCGTTGGATTTTCGGACGCCCGTTTTGTGACGTTTGGGCGGCAATGGACGTCTTGTGCTGTACTGCGTCAATCATGAGCTTATGCGTGATTTCGGTGGACCGATATATCGGCGTTAGTTATCCTCTGCAATACCCGTCCATCGTAACGGAGCGACGGGCATTGCTTGCACTCGTTGTTTTGTGGGCTCTGTCCATTACCATCTCAATCGGACCTCTTTTTGGATGGAAGGAACCGGCACCGGAGGACGAATCCATATGCAAGATAACCGAAGAACCCGGCTATGCCATTTTCTCCGCGTTAGGGTCCTTCTATCTCCCTCTAGTGGTGATTCTGTCGATGTATTGCCGCGTGTACGTGGTTGCGAGGAGGGAGACCCGAGGTCTGATTAGCGGACAGAAAACGGAAAAGTCCGATCACACCGCCGAGGCTGTAACTTTGCGGATACACCGTGGGAACACGACGGTGTCCGAAGACGAGGCCTTGCGCAACCGGACACACTTCGCATTGCGTCTGCTCAAGTTCTCCCGAGAGAAGAAGGCCGCTAAGACCCTGGGCATCGTGGTTGGATGCTTCGTCCTTTGTTGGCTTCCGTTTTTCCTGGTTCTTCCGATCGGCA